AGAAATCAGAACTTTATTGTTTTACCGTGGTAGATAACTGTTTTTCTCTTGCTGCTTTTAGAATCCTATCCTTATCTTTTAATTTGGAGAATTTGACTATGATATGTCTTTATTATTTTTTCATTTTGAGTCTAGCCTTTTTGGTGTTCTCTGTGCTTCTTGAATATGGATTTCCCAGTTCTTTAAAACACCTGGGAAATTTAGTCCTTCTTCCTTCTCAGTGATTTCCCTGTCACTCTCCTGTTCTGGAATTCCAATCACACGTATGTTATTCCATTTGATGTCAACCCACATGATTCCAATGTTTTCTTCATTTTCTTTATGTCTCATATCTGATTTTTTTCTTTATGCTTTTAGTGAGGCTCTTGTCTTCTGGCTCACTGACCCTGTTTCATCTTCAGTTCTACTCTTTTGTCCTTCCAGCATGTTGGATACTTTTGCCATTTTGGTCTTAATATTCTGGATTGCATTTTCATGTACCAATATCTGTACTACATCTCTGTAATGTGATGATTTTTTAAAGTTCTTGTACCCCTATATCTGTTCTATCAGTTATTTTGCATTTTCCTCCATAGCTGTTCAGGTTTCTCCTCATCCATATATTTCTTCTGGACTGTGGTTTCTGAGGCAATTGCTCTCCTAATGACTTCCATTGTTTCTTCTGTCATTTGTATCTTTTTCTGTAGCTGATCAAATAACTCTACATCAATATATTTCTTCTGGTTCTATCTTTCTGGGGTATTCATTTGATCTACTTTTTTAGAAGAAGGGTTGTTTTTTTGTGATGGCTGTGGTGGACTGTTGCTTTCTTGACATTATGCGAGTCTTGTCTTAGTAGATATTATGCCGCTGTAACTATAAAATTACCCAGGGTATGGCAATGTTTTGTGAGGCAGCTATATTTTTGTGGCCCACAGGGCCTCAGGCTTGACCAAAGTTTCCCCCCCAAAGTACTTTAATAACAAACCAGGAAGCCTGTTGTTCCCTTCTGGAAATGGCTGCCTTGAAGTGTCCCAGTCCTTCCTTCTGTCCTAGCTTAAAGGGTCCCATGTGGTCAAGCTAGTCAGGTTTTTTTCTCCCCAAAGTACCTTAATGGAAAACCAGGAAGCTTGTTGTTCCTTTCTGGAAGTGGCTTCTCACCTGCCTCAAGATGTCCTGGTCCTCCCTTAAGGAGTCCCACATGGTCAAGCTGCACAGGTTCCCCCCAAAAATATCTAGTTAATCAACAGATTCATGGCTGCTGCTATGTGCAGTGGCCTTATTTCCATTTTTAAAATACTAAAGACAGTTTAATATCACTCAGTGGTTGTTCTGACCCCCTCAGTGGCCTGAGCAGTGTGGGCTGCAGACCAGTCTTCAGCTGCAGGCTGAGCACTCCAGTCTTGAGGAGGAAACTGCTGAATAGCAACAGAGGACACCGACATACCTTCAGACCAGTCTGCAACGTCAAACTGAGCAGCAGTAACTTCTGGAGCATTCTTCCTGACACTCCTCCTTGGTCACAGACTTTTCAGCAGCAGCCTGCTCTTCCTTTTCAATCTCTTTTTGATCTCTATAGGAATACAGATCAGGCATGACCTCCCACAGGTGCTCCTGGGAGATTATGCCACACATGTGCAGGATTTCCCAGGCCAGCATCCACCATATCAGACCCACAGAGTGTGAGCTCCCTTGTTGTTGCATAGAATAGCAAAGTCTAGGTAATACAGAGGAGACTCTGTGTTACATAGGGCAATAGTAGGCAAGTTAACATAAGATGCTCCTGGGCTCAGTAAAATGAGGCTCCTGGAAGGTTGCCTGAATCTGGTTAGTGAAAGTTCCAGGAGTGAAGCCCCCAGCAATAAGAGTGACTCTAACAGCAGCAGTAAACTTTAGCACAGTTTTCTGGCCAGTATTTCTGGAAGATATGACACTGACATCAGCTGGATTTTCAATGGCAATAATGGTTCAAGCAGCCAACAGAAGTTTCTGTCAGGTCCTCTTCAGGTTTATGATTGTAGATATGCCATCACTTTCCCTTTTGTAGATGTACTATTCCATTTGGAAAACAAGGATGGTGTCACCCAAGTGTTTCTGCTGCAAAGAATTTGAGGACAGCTTCCTCATTCATCTGCAGGAAATCAAGGGCTCTGGAAATTGTGGAAGATTCCCCTTTACATTATGATAGAAACCAGGACAACAACATTATGGATCCTTCTCTGAGTAACGTGGAAAGCTGTACATGACATATCTACATTTATATAATTATAGATATATCTATGTATAGAGTTATCAGAAAGCAAAAATATGTAAACTTAATCATAACCCAACACTTTGAGGTAATGAATTTCTTGTCCTGGAATCTGAGGACCACAGAAGTGGGGTGAGACTGAGGATAAATGGCAGGACAAAGACCACAAAGACAATATCCTACATCACGTTTTAGTGAATAATCACTGCAGTATTGTCATCATTGCTGACCACTCTAAAAGATCACGGTAAAAGATCCTTGACAGAGCAGGTGAGAATTGTGAAACAAAACTCAAGAACAGGAGAACTGGCTGGAGTCACTGGTCTGATAAGACTAGTGGGACCCTCAAGACTACAGTGGCACTCAGTTGCCTTCAGAACCTGGAATAAGACTCACCTCTATGGCTTAACTTTCAGTGAAACAATAAACTGGAGAGAACCAAAGCCTCTGAACTGTGGTATTTGGGAAGAGTACTGAAAATCCCATAGACTATCAAAAGACAATCACACTTGTCTTAAGAGAAAGTGCAACCAGGGTGCTCCTTAGAGGCAAGGCTGGTGAAAGTTTGTCTCATGTACTTTGGGCATGTTGTCAGGAGGGGTCAGTCCTTGGAAAAAGAATCATGCGGGGAAAGGGAGAGGGTCTGAGAAAGAGAGGAAGACCCTTAAAAAAATGGATTAATAGGGCCTATAACAATGGGCTGGAACATATCTGCAATGGTAACAGAGATAATGGAGTACTATGCATTGCAGTTGACTGAATAGTGCCTAACAACAACAGCAGCAACATAAAGGGAGTATTACTATCAGGGAGGTACTAACTTGCAGGTGACTCGATGGCACATCACCACCACCACCACCACCACCCTCTTATATGCCCTTGGATATAGTTCAGAAAACAGAGAGGGACTGAATTAAAAGAATTAATAAAAATGAGAATCACAGTTAGGAGGTGGGAAGAGTTTGGTGATAATATGGGTATTGTAATCATTCCCTCAATGACTTCTCTAGTCAATAGCTCTGACTGATAATGCCTACTGGAAGACATTAAAGGGTAATTTTACCAATGAGAGCAGAGGCTTACAGCTTTGCTCAGGGTCACACACTTGAACTAAAACATCTCCTGGTCCAGTCTTGAGTTTTTCATAATGTCATGCTAATCCAAGAAAGACTGTATTACAGATAAGGGCCTATGATGAACAACTGGTACAAGCAATCCCCGTCAGGCTTCTTTTTTAAATTTTTTAAAGAGTAAAATAAAAACAGTGTTCCCCACTATTACACATTATGGAGTCCGGTTTTGCACATTTGAGAAAACTGCAGGAATAAGCACATCCAGAGTTCTGAGTTAAGCCCTGGGAAAACCATGTTCTTGATCATGGCATCACCCCTGTTATGTTAAGGATCATAGGCTTCTTTTTATGCATCTATTGGTACAAATAAGTAGTATAGGCTCTACTACTTCATATATTGCAAGGAAACATTCAGAATCATCAAGTGTCTTCTTAGACTCAGGTAATGTGAGTCATCCTATTAGCCTCTTAACTGGAATCCCAGAGATCATGACACTGTAGTGACTCTCCTGGGATAGATTCACAGCATTACATGGACCTGCCCTCAGATAAGCAGCATCAGCTCAAACTGGAGTGACTCATTCCCTATTCCTCTGTATACTCATTCCTCCTTCCCAGGTTTATGTATGACCTTCTAAACTATTGCTTTCTTACCAGGCAAATGTGATGTCTTGAAAAGACTTCCTAGGATAGACTGCTCCATAAATTCTTGCTAAACTCAAGATCATTCACAGGGCAAAAAACTTCAAACATAAAGAAAAAAAAATTAATAAATTAACTTTGTCCTCTAGCAATTCCCCCTCTAATTTGTCAAAGACTAAAAAAGACCACCACAAAAAAGCATATAACAGTGTTAACTAGGAGTTACTCCTTCACAAATGAGCAAAATCACAAGCCACAAAAGAACAATATTGTGAGCACGAACTTTTCCAGGCATTGTCAAACTTCTCAGACAATTAGACCTGAGGATTTCTCACTCCAAATCCTGTCCCTGTCCCCTCTCTTGAGCCTCACAGGTGGAGAATGTGGCTTTTTACTTTCAATGTTTTTTTGCACCAATATGTATATTTCAGTCAGCATAATGATAACTATTTTTATTGTTAGTTTTATCAAAAAAACGTACATACATAGGTGACTTTAAAAGACATGACTCTTACGTATAATTTTATTAGAGCTAGAATTGATCATTTCTTCTAGAAAGATAACTTCTAAGATCAGAGTAGAGAACAGGAAAAAAACAGATTTCATTTTGTAATTTACCTTTATCAAACCATCCCAGATCACATTAACAAAAAAAGCACGATTTACAAAATATAATGTCAGTAATATAAAAGACCCACACTAAAGTTCATATTCTCTCATCAAATATTAATTTTCTTCAATTTTAATACAAAATAAAATTTTCAAATAATATCACTCAAACACTGCACTCATATGTAATATCTGTAGTAATCAACTTTTAGCCTCATATTTTCCAGATTCTAGCTGAAATAACCACATTAGCTTGGTAGATTTTTGCCAATCTTGTTTCGGGGGCTATTTTACCTTAATGGCCAGAGTATATTTTTAAAATATGTCAATAATCCACGCTCAGAATAAAGTACAGATGGTTTTCTAACTTTATGGGGACATGAGTTTTGACAAATACGAGTGACCCAATTATCCCTGGGCTGGGCAGTTTCAACAAGATCATTTCTCCTATGGAGATAGGGTCTGTGGCTTTATCTTCCTGGCAGCTTCCAGAACAGAAACTGGATTTACTTTGTCTCCAAATTCTTTCTCCCAGTGTTCAAGAAGAATGCCCTGCAAGAAATAAAAACAAACAAACAAAAATCACTTCTAGGAGGGGTGATCAATCTCATTCTGGGATATGTATTGGTAAGATATACCCTGAACACTGGCTACCTGTCAATACCTGCATCAGGCTTAGCCCTGCCTCAGAGAAGTTCAGCCTTAAGGGGAAGGAAAGTAGATACAGACACAGTACTGGAGCTGACAAGCAGCCTTTGGGAGGCAGGAACAGATGGGAATATTGATCACAAAGGAGATCAGGAAGGCTGTATATACCACTTTGCCTGGTTGATGTGTGGAAGGCAAGAACGAATGAATTAGCACAGAAAAGCCTAAAGATATGGATGGGAGCGAAGAAGCTTTGAAACCGAGCTGTGGTCCGCCATTTGGAAAATGGTCCTCTTTTCCTTTTGTCTTCTTAAATAACTAGACCCCAGAGCCCATTTACTTCTTTATCTCTTGAATTTAAAACCCACTCAGTTGTGATGAAATCAAATGCATCAAAACATGATGCACTTTTTGTAAGCATACCCCAAAGTTACTCAAAAGTGGTAAAAAAGAGAAAATGGTGTGCTTGAGAGCAGCATCAAAGAACTTTGGTTAGAGAGTTCCTTGACCCATTTGTCTACACCCAGGAACAATTATTTTTTTTAAATTTCCAAGTACATTCACGACTATAAAAGCGCCAACTGTAGCAGTGATGACAGGGAAGAAACCAGGAAATCTACTCACTCAATCTGGCATTACAGAGCCATTCAACACTAAACGAGAATGAAGGAGGACATGGAAAAATGGTCAAGACACACTGCTAAATGAAAACAGAACCAACCATCTGTAAAATGCCCAACTAATCCAAACCTCTCTTCTGATTCACTATTTCTATAGTGTACACAAATCACTTCTATAACATATAACATAGGAAATCCCCAAACAAGTGGCACTTTGGACAATGGGACTGCAAAAATTGCTCCCAAGACTTGAGTTAAGTCAAAGTTAAGTCAGCCCAGGCCAACTCCCATGCTGGAAGCATGAGGGGCCAGAGCTCCAGGAAGCAACAACAGAATCAAATAACACACCTAGCAATGCTAGGAGCATGCCAACCAGTTGTGAGCAACAGATGAGTCACCGTCAGGCAAGAGAAAACTGGTTGGTGGGCCAAGACCTGCTTGAGGAGCATTAGGGAGGCAGACATGCAGGGGCCTGAACACCACAGGTGAAACAGGCTATGCAAGCCAGGAGAATACTACCTGCACACATATAAGGGCATCTGGAAGGATTCTTAAAAGCCACCTCTGAAAGGACTAGAGGCAGGAAAGGCAGTGTCCCTGAAGCTGGAAAGATCAGAGCTCCTGTGTTTTGTTTTTGCTGGACCACTGATTATTGTTGTTGTTAGGTCCCACCAGGTCGAGTACAACTCATAGTGACCTTATGAACAGCTGACTTGAACCCTGCCCAATCCTGTGTCATCCTCATCATCTCCCACACACTTGAATTCATTGTTGAGATCACTGTGCCAACCCATCTTATTGGAGGTTTTCCTCTCCTTCGCTCATCCTCCAGCTTTCCAAGCATGATGCCCCTTTCCAAGGAATAGCCTCATCTAGCTAGCTACATGTCCAAAGTAGGAAAGATGAACATTCATCATCCTTGCCTACAAGGAGAATTCTGACTCCACCTTCCAAGACATATCTGTTCGTTCTTTTGGAAGTTCATGTGCTATTCAATATTTTTCTTCAACACCATAACTCAAAGGCATCGATTTTCTGTCATCCTTATTCATTATTCAACTTTGATATGCAGCAGGTGATTGAGAAGACATGGTCTGAATCAGGCACACCTTAGTCTCCAAATGGACATCACTACTCTTCAGCATTTTGGAGAGGTCCCTGGTAGCAGACTTACCCAATGCAATACGTATCCTGATTTCCTGACTGCTGGTACCAAGGGTGTTGATTGTTTATCCAAGGAAGATGAAATCACTGACAATTTCAATCTTTTTTCCATCTAGTGTAATCTTGGTTATTGGGCATGTGGTGAAGACTTTTGTTTTCCTGATGTAGAGATGTGATCCATACTGAAGGCCTTGATCTTCTGCAGCAAGTGTTTCATAGCCTCATCACTTTCAGTAAGCAAATGTGTGTTATCAGCCTAACAGGTTGTTGATGACCCCCTCTCTAACACTGATAGCACACTCCTCTTCATAAAGTGCAGTTTGCAAATTATTTCCTCAGCATACAGGATGAATAGGCATGGAGAAAGGATACAACCCTGACACATACCCTTCCTGATTTTAACATGCAGTGTTCCCTTGCTCAGTTCACACATAGCTAAGTCTTGACCTAGGTACAGATTCCATATGAGCACAATTAAGTGTTCTGGGATTTCCATTCTTCTCAATGTTAACCATAATTTGTTATGATCCACACAGCCTAATGCCTTTTCATAGTCAAAGACAGACATTCTTCTGGTATTCTTTGCTTTCAATCTGAATCCATCTGACATTACTAATGATATCCCTGGTGCCACAGCCTCTTCTAAAGTCAGCTTAAACTTCTGGTAGCTCCTTGTCAATGTATTGTTCAAGCCACTTCTGAATGATCTCAATAGTATTTTGCTTGCATGAGATATTAATGATTATGTTCAATAATTCCCATATTCTCTTGGACTACCTTTCTTGGGAATGGGGACAAATATGATCTCTTCCAGTCAGCTGTCCTCCAAATTTCCTGGCATAAACTGGTGTGCACATCCAAGGCTGCATCTGTTAGCTGAAACATGTCAACTGGTATCCCATCAATTAATTACTGGGACATTTTTTGCCAATGCCTTCAGTGTAACTTGAACTTCATCTTTCATTATCATTGGCTCTTACTCACCTGGTACTTCTTGAAATTTTTCAGGGTCAACCAGTTCTTTTTTGGTAGAGCAATTCTATTTCTTCCATCTTCTTTTGATGCTTCCTTAATCATTCAAGATTATTTCCATAGCATCTCTCAGTATTACAACTTGAGGCTTGATTTGTTTTTCAATTCTTTCAAATTCTTCCAGCTTGAGAAATTCCAAGCAAGTTCTTCCCTTTTTATTCTCTGACTCTAGTTCTCTGCACATTTCGCTATCTTACTTTATCTTTCTGAGCTGCCCTCTGAAATCTTCTGAGCTTTTTAAACTTTGGCATCTCTTCCTTTTGATTTGGCTTCTTCGTGCTCTTAATGCAGTTTTCATAGTGTCTTCCGACAGCCATTATGGGTTTTGCTTTATCCTTCTTCTCTGTAATGACTTTTTGCTCTATTCATGGGTGATATCCTTGATGTTCTCCCACAGTTCCTCTGGTCTTTGATCACTGGTATTCAATGCCTCAAACTCATTCTTGAGATGATTCTTAAATATAAATGGGAAAGACTCAATGTCATATTTTGGTTCCGGTGGGCTAGTTTGCATTTTCTTCAGCTTCAATTTAAATTTGCACATGAGTAATTAACAGTCTGTTCCACAATTGGTACCTGACCTGATTTTGACCGTAAATATTGCACTTTTCCAATGATTCTTTCTGCAAATATAGTCAATCTGACTTCTGTACAATCCATCAGGTGAGGTACATGTGTGAAGTAATATTCTGTGTTTTTTGAAAAAGGTATTTGCTATGAATAAATCATGGAGCACACAAAATTAGATCATTCAATCTGTGGCCTCATTTCTGTCATTAAGGCCACCCTTTCCAACTACCATTTGTTCCTCACTGTTTCAAACTTTTCCATTACAGTCACTAATAATTATTTATGCATTCTGATTGCATGTTAAATCAATTAGGGACTGCAAAAGTTGGAAGAAACTCTCAATCTCCTCCTCTTTGGCTTTAGTTGTTGAAGCATATATTTGAATAATAGTTGTATTAACAGGTATTCCTAGTATATATATGGGTAGTTCCTGTCACAGCATTGTACTTCCATATGGATCTTGAAATTGGCTTTTTAAGTATGAAAGTAATAACATTCTTCCTCAGTTTTTCATTCCCAGTATAACAGATCATGTGATTTTCTGATTCAAAGTGGCCCATGCTTGTCCAATTCCAATTCACTGATGCGTACAATATCAATCTTCAGGTATTCTATTTCATTTTTTACAACTTCCAGTTTTCCTACATTAATACTTTGCACATTCCATGTTTCAATTGATTAGGTATGTCTCTTTTTTATTTTTTATTAGGTATATCTTTAACTGAGTTAGTTCAAAGCTCAAGGCTCATTTCCTTACATGTATCAAAAACTCAAACTTGTTACATGGAAGAAAATGCTGAGCTTTCTCCCTTGGAGTGGCTGAAGGATTCAAACCAAGTGTCTTTGGGTTGGCAGGACAACTCTTAAACAAACAGGCCACATAGCTTCACCCTTAAATGTTCTGTTATTGTTCTTGTTAGGTGACCCTATAAACAGCCATCCTGAAACCTGCCCTATATTGTGCCATCTTCATCATCTCCAAAACACTGGAGCTCACTGCTGAAGTCACAGTGTCAATCTGTCTCATTGGCGGTCTTCCTCTCCTTGGCTGACCCTGCAGCTTTCAAAGTATGATATACCTTTCCAAGGAATAGCTTTGCCTAACTACAGGTCCAAAGTATGTCTTGCCTCCAGGGAACACTCTGGTCAAACATATTTGTTCTTTTGGCAGTCTACAGGATAGTCAATGCTCTTCTCCAGTTCAATGGCATCAGTTCTTCTGTCATCCTTATTCACTGTCCAGCTTTCTGATGTGTAGCAGGTGACTGAGAAGACCATGGTCTGAATCAGGCACAACTTAGTCTTCAAACTGACATCACTGTTCTTCAGTATTTTGGAGAGGTTCCTGATAGCAGACTTGCTCAATGTAATGTCTCCATACTTCCTGACTGCTGGTACCAAAAGGTATTGATTGTTTATCCAAGGAAGATGAAATCATTGACAGCTTCAATCTTTTCTCTATCATAATACTGACTTGTGAGCCCATGATGAAGACCTTTGTCTTCTTGATGTTGAAATGTGATACATACTGAAGGCTATATACTTGATCTTCTGCAGCAAGTTTTTCATATCCTCATTACTTTCAGTAATCAAAGTTGTGCCATTAGCATAAAGTAGGTTGCTGATGATTCTTCCTCCAATCCTGATGCCACATTCCTCTTCATTGAGTCAAGCTTTTACAAACATACAGAATTAACAGGTATGTTTTGTTTTTTTACCTTTTCTTTCTTTTTTAAATTTCCATTCATTTATTGTTTCCATTTTCTCCCCTCCCAACCCCTAGTACACTACCCTCTTGGAAAAGTAAAAGAAAAATTCTTTCACTGTTTTACAATCCTTCCTCCCAGGTCTACTCCACTATACAGCCTTCACTCTGGACTCCTGTCGTGACAAAAATCCCTAATAATCTTCCCTCTTAAACAGTTTTCTCCCTCATCTGTTTCAATGCAGTATACATTACTGAACCCATCCTTCTCAGTCTCCTCCCAACCCCGAGGTCAGTTCTGCTTTACAACAGTGGCACCATGCAGTATTTGTCCTTTTTTTTTTAGTATTTGTCCTTTTGTGACTGAGACACTTCACTCAGCATAATGTCCTCCAGGATCACCCATTTTGAATATTGCATGAGTTCCTTATTTTTCAATGCAGCATAGTATTCCATTGTGTGTGTGACTATACTACAGCTTCTCTATCCATTCGTTTGTTGATAGGCACTTAGGTTGTTTCCAACTCCTTGCTATTGTGAACAAAGCTGAAATAAACATGGGTGTGCATATATCTGCTTGGATGTCAGTTACGGTCTCTTTGGGGCATATTCCCTGTAGTGGAATTGCTGGGTCAAATGGTATCTCTATTTGCAACTTTTTGAGAAAGCGCCATGCTGCCTTCCACAATGGTTGCACCACTTTACACTCCCACCAACAGTGAATAAGGGTTCCAGTTTCTCCACAACCTCGCCAGCATTTGTTGCTTGCTGTTCTGTTAAATTTTGCTATTCTGACTGGGGTAAGTTGTTGTGATTTGCATCTCTCTTAGAGCTAGGAATTTTGAACATTTCTTCATGTGCTTGTTAGCCATCTGACTGTCTTCTTTTTTTTTTAATTTTTATTATTTTTTGTGCATGTACCATCAAATCAGATCTGACTGGTACAGGAGGAGATTGTACCTCCTTTTCCGGCAGAACATCCGGTGGATTAGAACTAGGCAGCTCTGGGATTGCAGTGCAGCTTCTTGCCACTAGGCCACCAGAGACCCCATGAATGTCTTCTTTGGTGAAGTGTCTGTTCTTATCCTGTACCCATTTTTCTATTGGATTATTTACCTTTATCTTGTTGTGGTGCTCAAGTATGTTACAAATTCTGGATATAAGTCCCTTATCTGATATGTCATTACCAAATACTTTTCCCAGTCTGTGGCTTTCCTTTTTACTCTGTTGGAGAAGGTTTTGGATGTGCAAAGGGATTTGAGTCTTAGAAGATCCCATTCATCTATTTTATCTTCTCCTGGTTGTAGGTTTTTCAGGATACTTGGGAGACTGTTTATGTTGTGGATTAGGACTTGTAGCATTCTTCCAAGCTTTTCTTTAATGAAGCTTATAGTCCTTGGTTTTAGTCCTAGGTCCATGATCCACCTTTAGTGGGTTTTTGTACATGAAGTGAGGTGTGGATCTTGCTTGAGTCTTTTGCAGATACTTTTCCAATTTTACCAACATCATTTGTTAAAAAGGCTGTCGTTTCCCCACTTAACTAACTTCATCTCCTTGTCAAAAATCAGGTGACCATAGATAGATGGGCTGACTCTTCCTGTTTTAAAACTATGCAGTGTTCCTGCTTGGTTAGCACAATGGCTAAGCTATTCCGTATGGGCACAATTAAGTGTTCTGTGATTTCTGTTCTTCTCAATGTGAGCCATAATTTGTTATGATCCACAGTCCAAATGCCTTTGCATAGTCAATAAAACGCAAACATTCTTCTGGTATTCTCTGCATTCAGTCAGGATCCATCTGAAATTAGCAATGATATCCCTGGTGCCATAGCTGAAGGAAGAATGTCACAGTTCCCTGCCCACCCCAAACACTTAGCTCAGACCTCATCTTCCCAGGCTCAAATTCCTTGTCTGAGAAACAGCAAAGCCATCAGCACCTTTCTATATTGAGAGACCATATGAGACTGGATGTCTGAAAAGTGGCAATTTCCCATTTGTCTTTCTTCATATTGAGTGGCTTTCTGGAGAAAAGAGTGGGAGATCTGAACAAGGGGTTAGCTCCCTGCCTTGGCCTCCCAATCACCGATCTATAAGTGAGTAAACACCTAGAAATTTACCTGTTTTCCTGATCCCACCACAAAAACTCCTCCAAGGATAAAACCTTCGCCCTCCAAGTTTCCAGAGAAGCCACCATTCCAGGCCCTGAAGAAGTTGTACCAGACACCCAGACGGAGAAAGCCCATAAACATCATCTTCCGTCTTTGAGGACCATAGAACTTTTTCTGCAGGAATGAAACATATAGATAGCACCAACATTAGTATCTATACAACAGCTGTTACCAGGGACTATGGTTTCTAATGGGGTATTCCTTTGACTAAGACCTCATTTGCAGGTTCATGTTCTCCCATCCACCCAACACACATTGCTCCAGATAGGACCACCCTTATCCTGCTTCAAGACAACCCAGTTAGGTGTAACTTTCCACAACCGAGCAGATCCAATTGATAGAAACATATCTGCAGCTTTCACCTCTGACTCTAGTCTCTCATTAGGGACACAGGGTTCCTGTGCCTGACAAGATTGTAACAGGCCTGTGTTCTGGAGATTTGGGAACAACTCAATTCAATGCTGTCAAGTCAGAATCTACTCATAGGTGACCTGCCAGCAGGTTTTCAGAGGCAATAATTCACATGGAAAGACATTATCCAACCTTCTATCTTGGAGCAGCTAGTGAATTCAACTGTCAGAGAAGCATCACTTTTGGATTTGTAGCCCAATTCCTTATGGTCTATGGTACTAGAGCTCCCTAGAAATATGGAAGTAGGAGTGGAAATATCCTGCAATGAATTAGGGTCAGGGTTGGTGCTAGAATTCCATCTGTACAATGGCAGAAACATGATGAGATTTCAGCTATTCTTTAGTCTTAGGGGTCAAACCTCAGGAATGGTTTAAGCAATCCCTGTCAGCAAATGCTGTCTCTACTCAGAGTCAGAAAGCCTTTCATGTGTACAGAAGCTGGAAAGGAGGCAGCCACAGCTCCAGAATAGACAAATCCTAGGCCCCATGCATTCACAGTCTCTCCAGTCAGACGAAGGTTGAAGGGCTCAGTAGACAGACCTTTTCATCCATGAAGATTTCTCCTTTGAAATAGGGCTGGAAGTCCTCCACTTCAGTTCTGACCTGCTCCTTCACCACAGCATACAGGGGGATACCCAGCTCATCCAACTTGGGCTTCAGAGAAGACAGGTCTGCAGCCTCCTAAAGGGGACAGATCAAGGGTGTACATGCCTGTGGCTCCATAGCCCAGACATACCTGTTTCCCAGAAGACCCCAAGCACAGATGCAGGTCAGCACACATCTGTCCCAGCCAGATACTTGGCTTTAGGACATGGTGCCAGGACTCCTCCCTAGTCCAGGCTTCTTGACTTCTCATGGGGGGAGATGGCAGGCTTTGGTGATGAGTGTCCTAATGGTAAAAATGGTGTCCAAACATGATTCTCTGTCTATCCCTGTGATGCTCCTCCATGCCCCTGCCTCTTCACTAGAGCAAACTAGCAGAGTGGCCTAGCAGATGAGTCCTCTTGCTATGTGAATAGCTGCCTTCATGCCTTTGCACAGGCAGTCCCTTTCTATGTAGTAACCCTCCTTCATACTCTAGTGTACACCCCACACTTGAAAGGTGTGCCCATAATAAAAAGTGCTCTTGAGTCAGCCTGGAATAAAACCCCTACTCTATGTGCACACCCATCTGCCCTAAATATCTATTAACACATTGGTGCACACTTTTTAAATTGACAACCGTGCTTAGAAACACATTTGCCGTCATTTGCAGCAACGTGTCAAGCATCGTCACCAAGGCTCTCAAAGCTGTCTCATGATTTAAATTATAAATTACCCTTTCCATTTCTAAGTATCACTCAGTGCTGATCATGGGCACACAGAAAGCACTAGGAGAACATAGCTGAGCTGAATGGTGGAAGCAGCCCTAACTCTTCTGAACTGCTGATGGGATACATAAGTAAAATTTTGAGTGTCATGACAAAGCTTCAACTTTAAGAACAAATTACTTTTTCACTGTTGGTGTTGTGGTTAGGAGCCATCAAGTCAACTACTGCTCATAGTGACACTATGAACCTTGTCCTTTTCTGCATCATCTTTACTACCCCTTGTCATGCTCAAGCTCACTGTAACTGTTACTGCATTAATATATCTTGTTGGGGATCTTCCTCTTTCTCTTTCTTTGATCCTCCACTTTTTCCAGGATGATGTCTCTTCCAAGGACTATCCCCTACTTAGAACATGCCCTAAGTATGAGAGACAAAGTTTCACCATCCTTGCTTCTAAAGAGCACTCTGGTTGCATTTCAACCAAGACAAACTCATTGATCTCTTGGTAGTTCATGGATATTTAGTATTCTTCTCAAACACTACAGTTCAAAGGTATCGATTTTTTTAACCTTATTCACTGTCTAACCTTTACATGCATAGAAAGTAACTGAAAAGACAGAGGTTTAGGTCAGAGACATCTTAGTCTTTAAACTGACATGACTGCTCATCAGCACTTTAGATAGGTCTTTAACAGTAGATTTTCCCAATGCAACATGTCTTTTGATTTCTTGACTGCTGTTACTAGGGGTGTTGATTGTGGATCCAAGTAAAATGAAATAGTTAACAACTTTGATGTTTCCTCTATCATGATGTTGCCTATTGGTCGAGTGGTGAGTATGGTTTTTTTTCTTGATGTTGATGTATAATCCACATGTCAATCATAACAAATTATGGGTAACACTGAAAAGAATGAGAATGTCAGGATATGTAATTGTACTCATGTAAAACCTACGCATAGAATAAGAAGTTGTTTGAACAAGGGAACACTGCATGGCTTAAAATCAGGAAAATCCTTTTAAAATCCTTTCTCCACACTTACTCAATCTATAAATATTGGCGAAATGTGATAGCTTGGCATGGGACATTTTGAATCAGATGATCATATGATTTACTATGCCAGGGATGAAAAGATGAAAAAAAAGGGGGTTGGTGGTTGTTGTTGTTGTTATGTGCCATCGAGTTGCTTGCGATTCATAGCGACCCTATGTACAACAGCCCTAAACTCCACTCTGTCCTGTGCCAATCGCACTGTCTCTGACACTCCCATCCCAATTATCCCAGTCACTGAATCAATCCACCTCATAGAGGGCCTTTTTCTCCTGCGCTGTCCCTCCACCCTCCCAAGCATGATGTCCCTCTCTAAGGACCGGTCTCTCCTCACAACATGCCCAAAGTATGTTAGATGGAGCCTCAGAATCCTTGCCTCCAAGGAGCCACCCGGTTTAACCCTTTCCAGGACAAATCTGTTTGCTTTCCTAGCAGTCCATGGTATTCTCAATACTCTTCTCCAGCACCACAGCTCAAAGGAATCAATTCTCCTTCTATCCTCCTTGGTCATTGTCCAACTCTCTGATGCATAACAAGTGATTGCGAAGACCATGGCCTGTATCAGACGCACCTTAGTCTCCAGAGAGACACATTGCTCTTCAGTACTTTGGAGAGGTCCCTAACAGCAGACTTTCCCATGGCAATGCGCCTTTTAATTTCCTGGCTGCTGGTGCCAAGACTGTTGACTATGGAGCCAAGCAAACTAAAGGTGTGCACAATCTCAATCTCTTCACCATCCATCCTGATGCTGCCAATTGGTCCAGTGGTGAGAGTCTTTGTCTTCTTGACATTGAGCCTCAATCCATCTGTGGAAAGGGGTTGGTTACATAATTTAAAAAGTCATTTCTAGATCCATCCTGAAATATGAGCAATAGGGTAATATACATATGCATACAAGGAAGTCCAGTGAATACCACTATCATTCAAATATATGCACCAACAACTAGAGCCAAAGAGGAGGAAATGGAAGATTTCTACCAATTTTTGCAGTCAGAAATTGATCAAACATGCAATCAAGATGCATTGATAATAATGGGTGACTGGAACACAAAAGCTGGGGACAAGGAAGAAGGATCAGTATCTAGAAAACATGGGTTCGGTGAGAGAAATGAGGCTGGAGACAGAATGATAGAATTCTGCACATTCAATGATTTATTCATTGCAAATACCTTTTATAAGAAACATAAACACAGACTATACACAGAGATTTCACCTGATGGTATGCATAGGAATCAAATTGATTACATTTGTGGAAAGACTCGGTGGAGAAGCTCAATATCAGCAATGAAAACCAGGCCAGGATTGTGGGACAGACCACCAACTACTCATATGCAAGTTCAAGCTGAAGTTAAATCAAGTCCACAGAAACCAAAATTTGACCTTAAGTCTGTCTCACTCGAATTTCAAAACCATCTCAGGAACAGGTTTGAGGCCTTGAGCATCAATGAGCATAGACCAAATGAGCTCTGGGAGGATATCAAGAAAATAGTCCATGAAGAATGCAAAAGATCATTACAAAGGCTGAAAAAGAAGAAAAGACCAAGATGGATGTCAGATGAGACTGAGTATTGAATTAGAGTGCCGAGAAGCCAAAGCTAATGGAAGAAACCAAGAAATCAAAGAGCTGAACAGAAAATTTCCAAAAAAAAAGGCAGCTCGGAATGACAAATTAAGGTACGAGGATGAAATGTGTAGAGAGCTGGAGTCAGAAAATCAAAAGGGACAAGCTCACCGAGCATTTCTTAAGCTGAAGGAGTGGAAAAACAAATTCAAGCCACAGGTGGAAATACTTGAGGATTCTTTGGGTACAATGTTAAATGATCCAGGAAGTATCAAAAGAAAATGGAAGGAATACAGAGTCACTGTATCAGAAGGAATTGGCTGACACAGAAGAATTTCATGAAATAACATATGAGCAAGAGCCTGAGGAAGGAGGAAGTTCAAGTTAATCTGAAGGAATTGGCAAAAAACAAGACTCCAGGAGTTGACAGCATACCAATTGATTTATTTCAACAAACAGATACTGTCCTGGATGTGCTCACTAAGTTGTGCCAAGAAATCTGGAGGACGGTCAGCTGGCCAACTAATTGGAAGAGATCGATATTTGTTCCCATTCCAAAGAAAGGGGACCCAACAGAGGGCAGAAATTATCGAACAGTATCATTAATATCACATGCAAGTAAGATTCTGCTGAAAATTATCCAAAAACATTTGGAACAATATATCAACAGAAAACTGCTGGATGTGTAGGCTGGATTTAGAAGAGGTCATGGTACTAGGGATATTATAGCTAATGTTAGATGGATCTTGGCAGAAAGCAAAGAATACCAGAAGAATGTCTATTTGTGCTTCATTGACTATGCAGAAACTTTTGACTGTGTGGATTCCAACAAGCTGTGGCTGACTCTGAGAAGAATGGGAATTCCAGAACATTTCATTGTGCTAATGCAAAACTTATACTTGGACTAAGAGGCAGTCGTTAGAAGGAGACACTACATGGTTCAAAGTCAAGAAGGGGGTCCGTCAAGGATGTATTTTGTCTCCATACCTTTTCAATCTGTATGCAGAACAGATCATCCAAGATGCTGGGCTGTATGAGGAGGAATGTGGCATCAGGATTGGTGGAAGAGTCATCAACAACCTGCGTTATATGGATGACACAACCCTCCTTGCTGAAACTGAGGAGGACCAGAGGCCCTTGCTACAGAACGTCAAGGACTGCAGCCTCCAATATGGATTGAGGCTCAATGTCAGGAAAATAAAGATTCTCACCATTGGGCCAATTGGCATTATCAGTATGGATGGTGAAGGGACTGAAATAGTTAACAGTTTTAGTTTGCTTGGTTCCACAGTCAACAGCAGCCAGGAAATCAAGAGATGAATTGCATTGGGAAAGTCATCTGTGAGGGACCTCTCAAGAGTACTGAAGAGCAACATCATCAGGCTGGAGACTAAGGTGCACCTGATCCAGACTATAGTCTTTGCAGTTATGTACTATGCATCAGAGAGGTGGACAGTAAATAGGGATGATAGAAGAAGAATTGATGCCTTTGAGCTGTGGTGCAGGAGAAGAGTGTTGAATATACCATGGACTGCTAGGGGAAAAAAAACAGGTTTGTCCTGGAGAGGGTGAAGCCAGAATGCTCCTTGGAGTCAAGGATTCTAAAGCTTCGTTTGACATACTTTGGGCATGTTGCAAGAAGAGACTGGTCCTTGGAGAGGGACATCATGTTTGGGAGAGTGGAGGGATGGAGCAGAAGAGGAAGATGCTTGATGAGATGGATCGATTGACTCTGTGACTGGAGTTGTGGGAATGAGTGTGTT